TTCAGGGAGTCTGGAGACGCTACATAACTGTTCTGACCCTATGACTCGCACGGATTTTACTTCCATTCAGTCAGATGTCTATTAGGCCGTGCTAGCATGTAATATTACGGCTGTGTTTAACTCTGAATCTTGGTGATGGGGCATTTGGGAGCTCTACCACTGCACCCTTTTCATGCGGCTGGGCCCCTAGTCTACGCCAGTAGCCTCAATCACTACTGTGTGCCGATAAAGCACGTTCCGTCTGAGCGATGTCTTCTTACATCTTTCGATGAGCATAGGGGCCATACGAGTGTGCTTATGTGTGTATATAAACAAGTTATTGTCGTTCTGATATGGTTTAGGTTGACTTCAAGAAAGGCTCGGAACGATGCACAAACGCATTGTTATCTTTTTATGAATCAATACTCTAGATAGGACGGAAAATTCCGGCTGAAGCATTTTCTCCCAGGGATATGTTTTGGTGTGTTTTGAACTACGCGAGCTATTTAGTATTTGCAGTTTGCACCTGGGTTTTAGGGCATGAATTAAATCTCCCCGCTCTTCTGTTTGTGAATAATGAGTCTTCACCCTAGTGGTTTAATTTATCAAAGAGCAAGGAAGAAGTCGGTGATCTAAAAGGTAGTTCAGTGCCCAGCAGAACAGAAACTATAACAATTTGAATTTTTCTTAAAGTTTGAGAACTTTATGTGCTCCTAAGACGCGGAAGCTTATTCATATGGTAGCCTTTGGAAAAGACATTTAGTTTACAAAACCACCTTGTTTATTGACACAAAATCATGCTTTTTGCTGAAAATTTAGACGTTGCAACTGTAGTAACGTCTTAATGTGTGCGTCCAAAATAATATATGCAGGCTTGCTAATTATATACGTTTATAAAGGCAACCATATGCGGGAAAATGAAGTTGAGTGGTGCGGTTTGACTGATTCGCAGAATGTCTCTTTCTTCAGGTAAAAGGAGCAAGTTGGATAGCTCCACATCTGCGCTTTGTTGTAATTGCAACCGTAGAGTTGCCTATACGGGCGTAGTTACCTGGTAATTCATGTCAACGACATTTAGACCTTCAGCCCACTCTGCAAGGCAGTAGTATATTGTTCTGAGGATTGTCGACAGCAGGATCTAAAAGGTGGGTTTAATCCACAACATTCACACAAATTATGGTGTACGTTTATGAAGGCATTCGTGGAATACAATGTTGTCCTTGCGGACTTCCCCTTTCAGTATACCAATCGTACGTCCATTCACACTCATTGTCATTCTTGCAGGAACGACATCTTTATTCTTTTCACGGTCAGAATTATACAGTCTTTTACAAAACTATGGGGTTTTTACGATGGGATTATGGAAGTACCTGTTTAACACACTTGGACATGGTCCAGGGGATGGTTTAAAGGAATGGGTCGGTTTGATATACGACTCCTGTTCACTCGAACAACTTGAACCAGACGAGTTGTTCCAGAATATTCTGGACGAGGAAAATGCTCTTCTAAGAGCTTACGCAAATCCAAGTGATGTAGTTAGTCTTGCACTTCATCCACGGGTCGCATCCGCCCCCTCTACCTCAATCCGACTTGTTTCAATCAATTTGTCCGGATGGATGGAATTTTATGCATGGATGAATCTTCCGTTTTCATCGCTCCTTGCTCTTCTTTTTCACTGGCCGCTTACAATTTATCATATCCTTAATAACTTTCTTCCAACCAAGGGTAATGCCTATGTTTCGTCTATGTATGCCATTGAATTGCAGGTGATCAGGCGATTCTGCAGATATTGAAGAGAAAATTGCTGAGCATCCATCTGATTGGTGTGGAGACAGAAGTGGACTTGCTCCCCGTGTTCAAGGTAGTTTAACCCCCCTCACATTCGATGTCGGAGGTCTAGGAGTTGGATTACCTGATATCCCATGCTGTTGACGAGATAGTTATTACCATGGTCGGTTTAAATATTTCTCCCTACGTAAACGGCAAAAAGTGGCTTTTATCGCGTCGCATGTCTGCCACTGTTTGGCGCGGGACCTACCATCAGTTTGTTGAAGAGGCAGAGCTCTCTGGAGCATTTAGTCCGCCGGATTTAGTTATAGGTATTCCCTAAATGTTTCCTCACTGCACACGTTCAAAGGTTTCAATGTAGGCTTTGTTGCCTATCCCACATGGAAAAAGACTCTGGAAATCCTCAAGGTTAGTCGCCTATTTAACTTTTTCTACACTTAGGTTTTGAACGTGCCTGCCTACTTCACGGATTCGTGTCCGTACTCATGCATGTGGAACCTGGAGATCCTGCGCTCCGTGGAGCTATGGCCTGGGGTTGACACCTCTGACCTACATTCAGCTCTGGCCCCCCTCGCTGTCAATCCCTTTCGGAGTCCCATTTTAATTCGAGCAGAAGGCACCCTCTGGTCTCGGTTCAGCAATGCATTCATCTTTTCAGCTCAGGCTACCCCAACTACTGAGGCTGGGTTGGAAACTCTGCCATCTTCTGTAAAACTGTGATTCCTTCCCAGAAAAAGATACACCGTTATTTTTCAGTAGTTTTTTTTGGTCAGTGTTTCACCTTATTGAAAACGAACGATAACAGAAAAAAAAGGTAGTAAACGTTGTAAAGTATGCAAAACTTAGTAAAAGTGATTAATCACATCCGATGAGGTCATTTTCCGACGTAAAGAGATTTGGGAGTGGTTTTGTGTGCCACTGAATCGAAACGCCTAGGCCTTTTAGGACTTGAGCCAAGGAGAACTCGGGAAACGGGCATCTATCCGAAGTCCGCTCTGCGAGGGGCTGATCAATTGTAATGAAGAAGTAAGGGTACCTAAAGTAGATGAAGGAGTAGAGAAAGAATACGAGTTGTAGATGTGTGATGTTCGCTTTTAGGAGTATGGTTTAGCTGCAGCTTGATATTAGTTTCCAGAGGAGGTGCAACAAGCAAGCCAGCAGAAAGGCCTATTCGCCTTTTGTTTTTAGTAAGTAACCTGAGCTAGGAATGGGGGAACACATCATTGTTAACAAAGAAGTCTATTCACTGTACATTCTACAGAAAGGAAGAAACCGAACTTGGTGGTTCGTTTCGGTCAGTTAATTTGCGAATTTCTCCAGAATCCAGTTCACGAAGTGCCTGAATTATTTTACAATTTGAGGCATCATATTGCCATCCCTGGATAAAACAAAGGCAGCAGGAGATTGTTGCAAGAGGCTGGGTGGGTGGCTAAACCAACCAATCCTATTTTAGCTAAAAGGAAAACACTAGGTAGTAAATGAGAACCCACCATAGGAAGGCCCAAAGTAGCATTTTGTGCGAATTGCTAAAATACATTCAGATTTTATATACGATAGACCTGAGCACCAACATATGAACACCTGGCAACGTAAGGGGACTCGTGAAATTAATAAATATAATACAATGAGTAAAAACTCACTGCTCTTGCCAGTCTAAACGATCACTGGCTTTTCTACTCCAATGCAGAGCATTTCAAAGGGAAAAGCAAAGCGCATTCCAAACAAAAATGGGAACAAATTATTCATGTTTTACACGAAAAAGTGATCTGACAATTCCGAAGCCAAAGATGCACACGCTTGCACAAGCAATACCAAAGAACGTTAGATTAAGACCATAGAATGACAAACATTTAAACTACGAAGTAAGTGTCACCCATGTCATCTAGAACGTACGTAGAATTGCAGGCAAAAGTTTCAATAGAGAATTAAAAGAAACGAAACCCTACCAATTGGGTTGTTTGCCAGCCTTCAAAACAGTATCAACTCATGATAAAGACCAATTCCGGAATAAACGCATAACCAACATTCCGATGAATCGCAAACCCTGGGCGGAAGTGTTCGCATGCATCACTGCCGCCATGGCAGCCACGATGGGATACTAAGGCACTTTGCCCGTGAGCAACACATCTCTGAGGGTTTCGGTCTCAGTTCGGAGGGGTGGTAGTATACGCAGCAATGCACCTGGAGCCTGGAAGAACATCTCCGCAGAGAGCAATACAGCTACACACCAGTCCATCCACTTTCAAGATTTCGAATTCATTCAAATGCAAATCCGAGGGCACCTTATAATTACATTAGGGACAAGGGCAAACTTTTGATCACGGAGCATATTCTGCTCAATGAAAGTAAACACCATAATGCTTTCCTTCCCTGAATACAATTTGGATGCAAGGTATGTAGTTATTTGCACCTCGAAAATAAAAAACCCTTATGGTAGATTGCACCTGGTGCATAAAACAGAACGCAACCAATACCCCCCTATTCAGCCTCCATCGCTTCCACCAAAAATACTGTGAAAAACTTTTGCACATCTGGAGGTGTAAATAGACTGTAAGTAGCGTAAGAATAGATATAAATCCGAAATAGAATAATTCCAGCCACTACGGTGAAGCGATTGATAAATTTCACAAACTTACAAAAACACAAACACCTTTAATGAACAAAGAAATAGAGTAATTTAATGCCACTTGGCAAAATAGTGGAGTAGGTGGTTTGCACCAGATGAATACACATTAACCGAGCAAACAGTAGGCACGGGCAATGGACAAATAAGCTGATGCATTTTTTATCCTTAGATGATTTCATAGCAAAAATCCGATTAAAACCCCTTTTTTGGGTGTAGGTCTTCTTGACTAGACTATCTAAAAGTTAAGACAGAAAAATAAACCTTGATCACCGCTCAAATTGCTTTAGATGATGACCAGAGATGGAAAACATTGGGCCGGAAGATGGCACGATTCTTAAGATCGGGATCTGCAGAGATAAGTGACAGCTAGATCAGAGCAGCTTATGCCAACACAAAAACACGAGACAGATTTTTTGAAGTCCACAACTGCCAAGGTGGAGGAAATTGACCGATTTTCAGGAACACTGTCGCTCGACACGATGAGATGATGGCTGATGGCGTGATCAAGGGGAATAAGACGTGACGCCTAATGCCTTCTCGAAATTTCCTTAACGTTTACGTCCCCACAATCAACCGTGACATAGGCAATTTTTAATTTGGCATCCCAGGAAAGATTGCTTGGAAAAAACCCCCTTAGGGGATAACGTTCGACTCTTTTTCCTTATATTAACCAGACACTGATTTTATGCAAGACAGCAAGACTGTCTCGACATTCATTTGATTAATCGCAAATATTTTATTTGGATTTTGATAGAGTACGAACTTGACTTAAAAAATATGTATTCAAACCTCTGATCCAAGCGGATTATGGAAGGGCCGCAAAACTAATGAGAAGAGTCATTTGTGTAAGAACACCCAACTCTTCATTAAAAGCAGTTTCTCCCTACGATGATGTGATTCTAACGTTTCAATAGCTTATTTTGACAAAAGTTGCCGTTTATCTGCAGCGTAAAGACAATAAGGCACATTGAAAGGGTAGAATTGGATGCTCGGCTTTGCACAATATGATGGCCATGAAATAAAAGCCGAAGAAGCCATCTGAATCCAGACGACCGCACATATCTTATGTTGACAGTCAGGTAGCAAAGCTTCCAACCAAGTACGAATGCCCCAAGTCGAAAAATATAAAACTAATGTATAGGGCATGGTAGCGTTTAGCATGATTTTCAATTGATTCTGAGAAGTGAAGGAAAGTTAACAGTATGCTCGCATCTCAATCTAGCCCATGATAGCAAATTGAGTTTCGACACAACATAAACTTTTAGAAATGTTGAAATGGAATGATTAAAGACATAACTTGTTCATTTAACGACTAAATTTCATATAAGTACCTTTGACAAAATTTGAATCACACATAAGAAACCGCCATTAGAAAAAGAACGACCCTTTGGCTGTGCGCATGAAATTCAATGGATAGCAATGAATAGCATCATATTGTCAAACTATGTTGGTGATGTCAATTCACAATACGTAACGTGACGAATAATTTGTAAATTCGCTCGATACTCCTGCTGACTAGAATAAATGAAGGCGATGCAAATTAAAATCCCCGGATAAAGCGGAGCTTCTATGAGATAACTTGCATAACTCGAGTAATCATAATGACAATAATCCTTGAGGAAACTAATGCCACAATAACGCATTTAGGCCGGAAAAAAATCCGCAGTTTATTTGAGTAATTCATTCAATGCAATGAACGACCCAAATGGGGCAGAAGGAGAAAAGCCAACGTATGGGGCTCAAAGCGCGGAACGCAATGCGAACTGATGCGCGTTAACAAACTAACCTTCTGCTATTGCACAGGACGCTTATCTAAAATCGTATAACTGCAAAGTGTAATAAAGTTTCAGGAAATAATGAGACCATTTGGGTTACCAGTAAAACAAGGCAAAACCATCGTCACAATTGGGACAAACAATATAAGGTAAGCGTGAATGAGTCCAAGCACAAGTCGAACTATCAGCAATACAAGTGGCCAGATTTCAAGACATCCCATAACGAAATGGATTGCCTAAAACTTCCAACAAAAAGCCAATAAGAATCCAAGACTAATAAAAGTGCAACTACAATACCCGTTTAATTTAAAAATAATGATGGATCAAAAGTAGTTAAATAAAACAGTTGGAGAACGGCTGTCGATTTGGGTATATGAAGCCAGGTTTAGAAAGGATATTTTGATTACAAAAGTAGATTATTTAAAATCTCGCGTTAATCAGCGTTGTAAGGAGGCACGAAAATACAAACTGATCTGTTGGTTTAGGCGATGCTAACAGACGCAGAAGTCCAGAATCCAAAAATGAAAACTGGATATGTTTCCAAGCAAACCAACATTGCTGATCAGATTCAGTGACAACAGTAGTTCTAACAACAGGAAAACTAGGGGAAACTCATCTGTTGTACAAACTAACTCCAAATTATAATTATAAAGCCGAAAATACCAGAAAAGCAACCCCTAGTAAGATGTGCGTATTGCCAACAATGGAGTAATATTAAGAGAGCTCAAATTACAGACGCTAGTCTAAAATGAAGACAATCGAAGAAGATAAGGCGACATTTGTGACCAATGCCCCTGAAAGTAGTACAAAGTTCGCGACGAAAAGTGTAGGCAAAAATGATAAGTTGTCGTCTCACAGACAATACCGCTTACGCAGTGTATTAATAAGGGAAGTTGAATCTTTTAAGCTGCTAAATGTTCATTTGTTATCAGCATTATAAACTCTTTTAACACGTCACTTCCGCCTTGTACTAATAAAGGGAAGAAAGAAGCAAGGACATACTTACATTTCATAAAATCAAGTGTAAAGCGTAAGTAAGGCACCACCCGGAGGATACACCTGACAGACAATAAAAAATGAAGTGACAAACACATGGAGCTGATAGAAGTAAGGAAAAGAAATCAGTACATTAGAAAGTAAACAACTCACAGGAACATACACAATGGAGGAATTAACAATATTAAGCCATGGAACTGTCGGAATATTACAAAAATACGATCAACACCGTAAAATATGAAAGCCATAAATGGAATCCAGCAATGACGTTGCAATACAAACAGTCAGTTCTTCAACAGGAACACAAATGCATAAATATAATGACAAAACATATTATATCAAAAACGCAAAACCAAGAGTCCTAACTCTTAACTACGTAACCATCAAAGGCGATCCTTTGAAACAACCAAACATGGTTTTGTCCATCCACTAAATACAACTCATTTTTAAATTAATTAAAAGGGTCTCGTTTTGGAAAATGGCATTTACATTCAGAGGGATTGACCAAAAAGGGTTACTGAAAAATTAAAAATTCCTAATTCCAGAGTCAAAAAGATTTTTAAAATTTCAAAATTACTACAGAGCCTACGATATTCCAAAAAATAAACAAATTATACATGGATATTTACCTTTAAACACATTCCTCTCTTCAGCATCCTAATGTAGCGTCCCGAGACTCCATGAAGACGAAGGAAGACGCAATACTCGGGCAGAATATATATATATATACATATATTCGGCGCAGAGAAGGTGTCTGGGCTATTGGCATGGCTCGAAGGACGAGCCCACCCAGCAACATACAAAAGGCTGATTCCAAAGTACAAAAGTGGCGCCCCACCAATACAAAGGGATAAACGACCATCGTAGAGATTGATTAAA